AATCGAATGACTTTGCATTCCGAGTTCTGTCCAAGGAGCGAGCATTACGAGAGGTGTGATCCTGAATCGCCTGGAGGCGGGCACAACCACATGACCTGCGACCACAAGGTTGATTGACGTCAGGTAGGTCAAGGTCAACAAAAGACCATCTTACCTCTGCCCTTCCCTGCGTACTAGGAGGTCATACTCACTCGCTCCGGAGGTCACAGCTTGACCTTTCAAGCTCGTGTGCCAAGACAAGGACATACCACTTTACTAGCTTGGTCAAAAGTGAGACCAAAGGCTTTAAGAATTAGGTGGTATATTCATGATTATATTTGCAAAGATGAGTCTACGATATTGGAATTTAAATCGGATATCAATGGGGTTAAATGAACCATTTAGAAACAGTGAATCCACAAGTTGATTTTGAAGTCCTATAATTGGAATGGGGGGATAAAAGTCACTAGGAATTTATGCTTCATCCTCAAAATTCCAAAAAAAAGAATGGAGGGAAAAAACAGACGTGATTTTTTGGGGGGGAAAAAGGATGAAAATTGACCAAAGAGCATCAACGGCTCTTTGTCTTTAGGCTAAATTCCCATAACTGAAATACCGTGAATAATGGAAAGTGGCGGCACATTCTGAGATGGATTAAAGATTTCGTACTTACTATGACAATGATGTCGATACGATACCCGCTGAAAGCTAGAACGCATAAAAGGGTCAAATATTGTCTTTCGTTTTAAGGAATGGGATGGGAGGAAGAGGAACTTTTGTGTGTATCAAAGGAATTCTCGTTTAACTTCGTCTTTTTTTCTTCTTTGCAGAGGTGAAGTTATGCTCTGAGTGAAAAGCAGAGGTGCCCCGTGTTTTCCATTACTCTCCGGTTAGGCGTTTCGAGGAGGTCCTGGCGATGTGGTGACGATGAATGGGGGAGGATGGAGGTGATGGGTGGCAGTGGGTGGAAATAAGTGGCAGTGGGTGGTGGGTGATCGATCGCACCTGACTTGGTTCTCCGGAATCCCCATCTTCGCCCCCTGAGCCTCCAGGTTGGGCCATGGCGGCAGCCCTGCCCGAATTCGTGGCTGCAGTAAACGTTCCCTTCCCCTGTAAAGGCACAACAACACGACCAAACATATTTCTGGGTTCTGTCCTGGGCTTTAGACTGACGAAGGAATCTGTCTGCCTTGAAGTTACTGTCTGCTGGATAACTGGGCTTTATGACTTTGTGTCCAGCTCAGAGTGTTACATTGTTGCCAAGTTTATAAATCTAAACTTTGTTATTCTGATTAGCCTAAACTTCATCTTAATGACTTAACTTTGTGATCATCACTAAGGATTAGCAAATAGATCATAATAAAAAAAATAGTTCAATAAAAAAAATACATCAACGTAATTACACAGATGCATTCATATATACTGAACGGAGGATGCTTTGAGGAAACACATTTATATACGGATAAAAAAACACGAGAATAACAAAATCTGTGACTAGAAACTGAGGCAACACCAGAGGCTTTGGTCCGGGTCTGGGCGCGCCGTCAGGAGGGGCGTACTGGAAGCCCGACCAAGCCCGGCCCACCTTGGAGTCCTTTCGTTCATTCCGCTGGTCAAATCGGACAAAAAGGGACATGTGTCGATCGGTGGCATGGAGTGTCTGTCATTCCGTGCAAAGTACATGCAGCCGGCATTACTAAACTATATATATATATAATATATCTATATATATATATATCACATATGTGTATGTATATAATATATATATATATATATATATATATATATATATATATATATAATATATACACATATATAATTTTGTATGTATGTATATGTATGCATATGTAATATGTGTCTATATGCATATATATAATATACGCACAGTCTTTATGCATATCCATGTGCGCTTGTATATATACGTATTTATACATACATACAAACATACATAAATATATACATCAAGTATATAATATATTAATATTATATATACATATATTATATATTATATATATATTTATATATACATACATATATACATATACATATACATATATACATACATCATCAGGGTCATCGAGGCATTTCGATTAGGATGATTGAAGTGCAGGCAATGGGCATAGCATAGAAAAATTAATTAACTATGCAAACATGTATATATATATTTTATTTATACAGTCAGTGCACTTAATTAAACAAGATATATATATTAAACGTAAAAAAAAAATGTTGAACAATTAAGATATTGCCGGCCTAAGTCATGTTTAGGTATAGTTGGCAGGAAAGAAACACAAAAAAAGAACAACCAAAAAACGGGAGTAAAGATAACCCAAAAGGAAACACAAAAAAGGAGAAAAATATAAACCATACTCGCTAAACTCTAAAAAAACCAGGAGTCGGGCATCGGTAGGCTTTTTAAAACCGTTCGTGCCCGTGAGGTTGATATCATTTTTTTTTCTTTTTTTTTTTTAAATGCCAACACCACTATGGGTTTGGTTGGGGTTAGCTCGGGCTCTATGTGAACAGCGAGAGGGGCGCAGGTAGTGCATCTTCAACAGCAGTCTGGGCAGTAGCAACGGGCAGCACCAGCAGCATCAACAGCGGCAGTTGTGGAATGAAAGTGGCCACCCGGAGTACTTGAGAGTTGGGCCAAGCAGTTAAGAAAAGACAGGAAAGGGGAAAGGAAGGCGTCCGCAAGTCCACCGCACATAGACATTTTCAGCGAGGTCGAGTTTCCTTTGTTTTGGTTCTTAAAGAAGCCAGAAAGATCGTTTTTTCCTTTAAGAACCTGTTTCTTCTTTTATGAAGATTTATGATTAATTAATGCGAAAGCAACATAAACTTTCAGACGCAGATAGTTTGAATTAGTTAAGAAAAAAGTAGAATAAAAAAAGGCTTTGAAACTCTTCAATCTGAATAGTTAATTAAATGAATGGAACAAGTCTGTTTAAATCACAAGACTCATTCTACGAGCAAATTCATTAATATCTTTTAATTAGATTTAAGCATCCCTGAACAATGTGCTATGCTTTTTCATGAAGTCGCAAAATGTGTGAGTCTACTGATTTAGCTAGATGGAGTCCTCGTGATATTCAAAGAGTGAGATTGCCTAGGTTTAATTACTAACTAGCGGAAGTGTACCTAGCAGATGACTTAATATGAAAAGTCAAGATGTGCGCTAGTTTTTTGCAACAGAAACTTACAGCTGCATTTATTTGCGAGTTTTTTGTCACAGCTTAACACATCCTTCCTTTTTTTTTGGTCTACATAGAAAATAGTAAGTGTTTAGAAAGTGTATAACAAGAAATTTAAGTATAGGGCGTTTAATGACCAAAATATCAGTTCTTGATCACAATATGAAGAATGATGTATGTTTGCAATCAAAAAAGAGAGCTGGCAAACAGTAAAGAATGTTTTAAGTCCGAAACAGAAAAACAGAAAGGTTAAAAAAATTGAAGCGCGAGAGAGTTTGCAAACCAGCCAAGCTTCACTATTAAGCTTCACTATTCTTTTTTTTCCTATTTGACTATGATAAGTTCTTAACCCAGAATTCAAAAGGTATTTTTTTCTTCCTTTTGCTCCCTTGAACTTAAACCAAATATAACAAATGAAATTCACGGGCCACCTGCCTGGCTATTCCAAATACACATAAACAATCTATGCTGTACACTTTGAGCATCACCTGGGTGTGCTTTGAGAGAAAAGCGGGAAGACAAATTTGTAAATGTCATGAATTCGAAGCCTACTCAAAGGAATGTGCTTTGACAGTTCAATAAAGGAAAGTGTAAGGGGCAATAATTCCTTCAATTGCCTTAGTTGATGTTAAAAACGAAGTGAAGAACAGACTTTTCTTCAGAGAGAGTGCTGGAAGAAGTGTGCTTTGGGTTGCGGGAAAGACAGTGGAGAGTATTCTTGGGATATGGAATGTCTGGGGCTTGTTGGCGATCTTGCCTGTTGTGTAGGTGTAATGGTGCTTGTTGCGTGTTTAGGTTGTTTCTTGTACAGATATGGTGTGGGCGCCCGCGTCTGCTGTTCGTGTAATTGTGGGCGTTTTTGGGTGTTTCTGTACTGGTAAGGTTTCGGGTTGTGAGCTGTGGGCGTGTCACTGCATGAGCGTGGCAAAAAATCGTCTGCATGGCTGGTGTGTGGTGGGGGTTCACTGTCTTGGGCGTGAGGGCCCCGTTGCTGACCAGGGCCAGAGCTTCACGGGATGTCGGATGGCCCACCAGAAACCACTTGACTGTGCCGCTCCCGCGATCCAAGTTTCGCTGTGCCACTCAGATCTGAGGGCGGCACCCGAGGATGGGCGGGGTGTAGAGGCGTGGGCGGGTGCCTGGTGCTGTGGCTCATGTGAAACCTCGCCCTTCCTGCCAAGTGGATTTCATGTGTGTGGGCGGTGTTGGATGTGAGTGGCGTTTGAAGTGTCAGTGGCAGCTGTGGTGGTTGGTGAAGGTTGGGGGTCTTAGTGGTAACAGGGTTGGTAGTGGGTGGCCAGGAGGGGCGGGTTGCAGTTGACTTGGACTTGGTCAAAGCACAAAAAATGATGCTGGGAGTTGCAAACGTGGCTCAGGACCATCCTTTGGTTGTCCAATATGACTAACTGTAGCCCCCAAGGGTAGCACTAGGGCTGCCGCGTGGAAGGCCATTGTTAGAATTCTTCTCATCTGAATATACAGTGAAAGGAGTTACACTTAATGAAAAAACACCCACACTAACTGGTGTATACAAAGCACCTTAATGAATCGTCACATTATTCAAAACAGTTGTTTGTATACCCCAGAGCTGAACCGCCGGCGCCTCGACCAATGCACAGAGAGGCATGCAGGTTGGAAGGGGCCGGCATCCACACTCTAGATAGTTTACATTAGAAAAAAATAAAAAATAAAGAAATGATATACGGGACTACTTATGGCAATCTGTCCGCAGGATGGTGAGCCAGAGTGCATGTGAGGGTTAAATACAAGACGGACACTGCATGGTCGCCACATAATTATGATAATATGGTGGTTAAGGCTTAGTACCATGAGCACTTCAGACACTGAGCTGATACTCAGAATGTGCATCGTAACCCCGACAATCACTGGAGTACCTGTAAAGAAACAACCCATACAAACAACGCTAGAGTAACTAAGATAAATGCTGTACAAGGGGGAAAAGGGTGATCAAAGGGAGGTGACTACGGCGATGTGTCTGCACGGGGCGCGGGCGGACCCACGGCCACGAGACTCGGGTAACGCCTTCGGGTCCTCTCTCCCTTCACTCGGGTACTGCGGGTACTGGTGTGTGTGTGTGTCAAGCTCTGGGTCTCTCTACTCGATCTCCCCAGAGTCTCGGATAGGTGAGCAGCCACGCACCACCGTCCATACACACCTTCGCAGCCTTCCCTTTGATGCACCTAAAAAAAAAAGTAGCACAGAGAGACTCACTTTTCTGCACCGTAGCACATTGCAGGCACGCAGGGTGAATAAGGTAAAGTAGATGGAACAAAATTCTGAATCCGTAAATGACACGTGAGATCTGATAACGGAAAGCGAGGAAAGTGAGTAATGATCAAACATCAGAAACATGACATGTTTCCATTAAAATCACAGAGGGTTCAGACAGGCCAAGAGAAACAAGCAATCAAGCAAAGTAAAAGATTAAGAAAGAGAAGAGAAGAATGAAAATAAGTAAATTCATCTATTAAGGTATAATAAGTTGCTAAAATCAAATAGAAAATCAGATTATGTACAACGTAGGGCTCACGCCAGCTCCCTTACCTGTACACTAATACATTTTGAAAAGCGGAAAAAAATGGTAGAATGGCTGCCAAAAGCAATGTGCAACGAAAGAGGGATAAAAAATAACCTATATGAGGTGAGAGTGTCGGGGAGAGGCCGGGGGAGGACGGGGAAGGGCGGACCGGGTGGGATCCAGGGGAGGGGCGGGGGCGCGGGAGGGCATGTAGGGGTTGGTCTGCGTGCTTGCAACATATGCACAGTTTTCTTTTAGATCAATTACGTTGATTTCACCGTTGATTCTGCAATCGTGTATATTGAAAGGAGAACATCAAGATTCACTGAAACCATTGTGGTTTGCCTCAACCTTTGGCTACCACAGTAAAAGTGAGGCGACTCTGTGCTAAATGTTCATAAGAAATAGCAGAAACATCCAGATTATATAACACGATTAGATTGAACGGAATGCCACAAGGAAGGACATGCTATCATAAGCCAAAGATTAGAAAAGGGATTACGGACTTTTGGCATATCGCTATCTTTGATTATACAGTAACAACAAGACCAAGAGAAAGATGTTTTTGAATGTGCAGAATACTTTTTTTTTTTTTTAATTCAGCCATTCGGAACTCTGTATTTCGTAGATGTTTCTGCATAGCATGAACAAATCTGTTGAGTCTAGATTCAAAGTCACTCCGTTAAATGTTCAACATGCAGCTGAATGTTCTCTATGCCTTTGAATCCAGACTTAAGGACCAACGAATGACATCTCACATTTGTCGCGAAGACACACCTCGTCCCTTCACCACAAACGTTGTGACGCTCCACAGGTCCTCACCAGCCGGCCAGCGAGCAGTCTTTGACCGGACATGTCTGGAAAGGGTCATCCAGGGCCGACGGAAGGTAGTGCTATGCCACCTCCCCTCGGAACACGTTGGATCACCCCTTCAGAGGCTGGCAAGGTCCTCTGCTACTGTAAACAGTCCTTGGTGTACAGACCCGAGGCTGTGTACAGTCTCGGGAAGCAACCAGGAACTCGCAAAATAACTCCGAGTTCGAATGACACGACAATGACTCGGTCCTCGGTTTGTGTTACCCTCGTATAGCAAAAGGCAGTGGGGGGAGGGAGCGTTACGTTAGAGTCAACATCAGGGCAGGTAACGCAAGTCGAGGACATCTTCTTGCTAGGCACAACGCAAGGTTCCACACTTTGAGCGTTAAAAGAGTACCGGGGAGCCTTGCGGCCGCAGGTCCTCGTCACTCTGTCCCGCTGGCCCGGCCGGCGCCTTAAGATTATTGCCTTACTAGTGGTACTTAGGAGCGCGACAACGAAGAGCATATGTATGTACCATTTGAACTTCAGAGAGCGAGCTAATACTGAGAATATGCATCGTTATACCGACGTCCACGTGCGACCCTGGAAAGACAGACAGCATCGGGCCGGCTTCAGCGACAACTAGCCAGCACACAACATACATTTCAAAATGGTTACAGTGGAACGTTCTCCCTTAGCGATTGCAGAAAAAGGGGTAAAAAGAAAGATAGAAAGGATAGAAAAATCCAGGGCCCGGATGTGTTTGAACAGTGAGGTCAACACTGAATCAGGTTACTTCATTCGGATAACTGAATATCAAGCTATAGGTCAATAAGAAAAAGAAACCTTAATTGATCGACAGTCAAACACTATAAAATGAAATGAAAAAATCATTCCATGCGTACAAGTTTTATTGTAGCATTTTGACATAAAGCAACTTAAAGGTAAAAAAGGAATGAGAAACTTTATATAAACAAAATACAAAAAAAATGTTTGACATTCCAAATTTGCTCTAAAAGTTTGGAAATGAAATGTTAATCAAATGAAGTTTAATAGTATCCTTTAACCCATTGCTCTTGATATCTATGCTCTACTATGGCAGTTAGAGGAGGATTTATGATTCACTCAAGCAGGCAAATCATGCCTATTGGATGGAATAGTGATCATGTTTCTTACATATCTCGATACTGTTGGTAAGTATAAAGCCTTTGCATATAATCTTTTAGCATTTAGCATTCTGACAAATTTGAGCCTTTATATGATCTGGCGCTAAGCAGTTTATAAAGTAAGATATGAATCTGGATAAGGTGCAGAAACGTGCCAATATCACAGGTAGGGAGGAGATTTGCCTGGTATTCCTAGATCCCCAGATCCTGCACTGGCACGGACTATTTGAAGATCCTACATCAGTACTTCGACATAAGTACATAAGAGTAAAATCTTGAAATAACATACCTACATGTAGGATCTAAGGGCCAGTGCGGATCACAGAGAAAAAAACACTCCATCATCACCAGATAAATGGCAGACATTCATGCGCCTTATGCATAGGATATGACGTTGACAGAACCCATCTCTATCTATGGCACTTCTAATCTATGTATCTAGGCATATATATATATATATTTAGCTCCTGGAGTAGATAAGGAAAGTAAAAGAAAGTTCCTGGAATGCTACTTCTGCAGGGGCTTGAGCGTCCCAGAAGGTGCACCGCCTGCAGGAGGACGTGCAGGCAGGCCACTCCCGGAGAAGTGTCAGATAAGAACCTGGAGCAAACAGCAACCTGAGGAGACGTTCCACTGTACTTGGGAGAAACAGATAGGTTCTGAAGAGCGTTGTAGGAGCGATGGTCGTGAGGCGAAGGGATGCTCTCAGAAGATTAGAGGTGATAAGGAAGTGGCAGGAATGGGGGTGAAGATGGGGGGTGACGGTGACGAAGAGGCGATAGAGATAAAGCAAGATGTGATGATGGCGGCGATCGTTGGTTCTTGGAGGTGATAAAGAGAAAGGGAAGAACTGACGATGGTGGTGATTCTCAAAGGGGAGAAGAAGGGGAGAGATGGCTACACGGAGATGGTGCAGTGCGAAGAGATAGAGAAGGCGGAAGAGAAGAGGATGGTGACGGTAGTTAAGGAAAGAGAAGAGAAGAAACAACCAGTAAACATTACGAAGGGGAAGAAAGGAAGAGAAAGATAACGACTGGACACAGGGAAAAAAATGGAAGGAATTGGTGACGGCAGAAAGGACGAAAGAGATGTTAAAGGGAAGGGAAGAATGGGGATCATAGTATAGATAACAGAGAAGAATGATGATGACGATGGAAATGGCGATGATACGAAAAGTGGTAAAGACAAGTTAAGAGTGGTGATGACTCGTCTTGTATGATGACTTCAAGATGATAGTGGTGGTGACTGTGAATATATGGGTTATGACACTGCTATGCCGATGACCAGGATCACAATGACAATGGCTGTGATTGTAATAGGAAGGCATTAAATATGATAATCTGTGATGATGGTGAAGGCCATGATAATGAGGACAATGGTGATGATGATGATGATGACGTGATGATGGTTGTGATGAAGATAATATTGATCTCAATGGAACTGGAAACAAAACAATGTGTGATGAATATAATACAAATTGCAATTAAAGATGCTTGTAAAAGAAACCTGAATTATTATGACAAGAAAATGATAGCACAATCAATTAGTGCCAAGGATTGATAGATCATGATCACCAGGTCCAGGTCTTTCTTTATTATTACCATTATCTACCATAAAATTAGTGAAAGTTTTGTAAATATATGAGAGAGAGAGAGAGAGAGAGAGAGAGAGAGAGAGAGAGAGAGAGAGAGAGAGAGAGAGAGAGAGAGAGAGAGAGAGAGAGAGAGAGAGAGAGAGAGAGAGAGAGAGAGAGAGAGAGAGAGAGAGAGGCTAAGAATGGAGATACAGACGTAAATAGTTATAGAGACAGTCAAACATATATGTACAGACACATATATTTATGTATGGATAAACAAACGGAAAGATAGAAAATAGATAAAGAGATAGGTATAAAGATAGACAGAATATAGAAACTAGATAACAGACAGAAAGATAGAAACTAGATAATAGATAGAAAGATAGAGAGATATTTAGATAGACAGACAAACAGAAAGATAGATAGATAGATAGATAGATAGACAGATAGATAGATAGATAGAAACAGAACCCGTGTATGTACCAGCAGCGGCCACCTCCGGACGATCAGGTCGGCTAAGTGCCTGAATCTTTCATAAAAGAAGTCGATACCAGCGTGCACCTTATTCATCCTAGACTTTCCAGCCCGCTTAAGGTCGAAACAACCTTGTATATAACACGGTATCACAACCTTATCTATTGCTTCATCTCTCTCTCTCTCTCTCTCTCTCTCTCTCTCTCTCTCTCTCTCTCTCTCTCTCTCTCTCTCTCTCTCTCTCTCTCTCTCTCTCTCTCTCTCTCTCTCTCTCTCTCTCTCTCTCTCTCTCTCCCCAAGTCTCGATCTTTCTATTTTTTTCTTTTATTTTCTTTTTTCTTT